ACATATCGGAAATGTTTGATAAATTAAGCAAAGCTAAATGTTATCATGTCACCGACTTAAAATCCCGTTTTCATTAGGTCAAGATGCACCTCAAAAACACTTTCAAAACTGCATTCAGCATACACCCACTGGGCAGATTCGAGTTTTTTGTTTTACCTTCTGGTCTTGTTAACTCACCTAGGACCTTTCAAAGAATACTTAATACCGTACTTGGGAACCTCATAGGTAGAACTTGTTTTGTTTTTATCGATGATACAATCATGTTCGGAGAAACAGTGGATAAAACAAAGGGACGTTTTTATGAAATAGTGCAAAAATTGCGAGAAACCGGATCAAAACTTGAATCGCAAAAATGCAATTGGTTAAAGAAAGAAGTAAATTTCTTAGGTCATGTTATTAGCGAAGTTGGTATCAAACTAGATAAAAAGAAGGTTCAAGGGGTCGAAGCTTTTCCTACACCGAAAACTACAAAAAACATCAGAGAATTCCTCGGCCTGTCTAGTTATTACAGACATTTTATTAAAAATGTCGCAGAAATTACAAAACCGCTCACTATTCTTTTACACAAAAATGTAAATTTTTCTGGGAATAAAGAGCACCAAGAAACTTTCGAAAAACTGAAAAAGTTACTATGTGAAGCACCCATTTTACAATATCCCAAAACTTCTAAAGATATCAACATAAGAAACATGATAAATGATGTTTTCAAAGAAACAAAAATTAAAGTTATTATTTGCATGAATTATATCAAGTACGGCAATAGTCGGGAAAGCAGAGACAATATTTTTGAAATGTACCATTCTTCAAAATGAGGAGGGCACTCGGGAGTAAACCGCACATGTAACGGAATTAGCGATAATTTTTCTTGGGAAAATTTAAAGAAAGATATTCAAAATAGAATCACAAAGTGCAAAGAGTGTCAAAGAAACAAATTAAAACGGAAAAAGATGAAACAACCTATGATTATAACCGATACACCTTTGAAAACTTTCGATAAAGTCTCTATGGACATTATGGGACCATTTAAGATTAAAAAAAATAGTAAACGTTACATTTTTTCTATTCAAGACTAATTGTCCAAATTTATTATTCTAGCAACTCTAGAAGACCAAGCTGCTGAAACAGTAAGTAAGGCATTTATAAAAAAATTCATTTGCATCTTCGGAACCCCGCAAGTTGTACTAACTAAAATTGCTCAAATTGCAAGAGATAATTTAATTATATACAAAGAAAAATCGAAAGAACAGGTCAACAAAAACACAAATCCAGTAGAATTCCAAATCGGAGATAAAGTCATGTTTATGAAAGAATTCAAATCGGGAAAACTAGAAAAAGATCACTCCTTAGGCTCTTTTGAAATTCTAAAAATAATTGACAATGGCAGCATAATAATCAATTACAACGGGAAATAAAAAACAGTTCATGCAAATAAATTAAGCATAACTAAATAAATGTATATTGTTGAAAATATCAAAACAAATACACTAACATTTTTGAAATCATCACTAGTTTTTATTATATTCTATTTCCTCAAAACAACTAATGGCATAATAGGATTTGACTGCGGCTCAACAAACCCTACCATCACAACTTACTCTCTTTTCGACACAGGAAACTGCGACTTCCACAAGATATAAACAAGAACTTCTTCAAATAGTGGAATTCAGGTCTATTAAAACCCTACAATACAAAATAGAAATAAAACATACCGTTTTCCACTGTGGGATGTTCAATCATTTAGGACCTCCGGAAAACACGATTCAAGAACACGATTATGACCTTTCATACGATCATTGTAAAAGTATCCATGCCACGGGTATTTTCAAATACGATAAGATAAACATCATAGCTGATCTACATATTAATTCAACGAAAAGCGTAGGACTAGACTTAGCAGGAAAGGTAGAAGAAAAATTTTGCTCGGTAACCGCCTATTCCGACAGATTCGGCTCATGGAGTAATGTTTTTGTACAAGGCGTTATAAAAATTACATTACTAAAAAATTACGCGGCCGTTAGTTTAAGTAATGATAAGTTAAGATTAAACTTAGGTACGGGTTGCAAGTTTTCTGATCAACATTGCATCGATATTGAAGATAGTTACACCTTTTGGCCACTGTTACCGCTGGAAGATTGCTTCCAAAACAAATACGAGGTATATAGAGGCCCGGTAACTAAGATAAAATCACCCGATCAGGAAACTATATTTAGTATAAACACTGACACAGTATCATTCACATTGGCAACTAAAGGAAATATAGGCTTTTTTAACAGAGTACTTACTAAAATAGAAAATCCAAAATTATTTACATACATGTGTTCTTCATATAATACTTTATTCGATAATGATATTTAAAAGAAAGAAGAAATACTAAATTACGATCTCTTTACCTATTTTAATAGCAAATTTGTATACGTAGAAAAACATTTCAGGACAGAAGTAAACAATTTGTATTTAAACATTATAAAAGAATAGTGCGAATTACAAAGTAAAGTGCTCTACAACTCTCTATCCCTCGCATCCATCGTACCAGATGAATTTGCCGTGAATACAACCTAATGGAGAAGCCCGGGTACATAGCTCGGCTGGAAGGGGAAGTCGTATATGTCATACAGTGTACGTCTATTGAGGTCCAACTACACCATTCAGATAAATATTTTTCTCAATTGCCGATTACTCCAGGTAACCAATTATTGTACCTAACCCCGAAAATACACTCTTGCTGAAAACAGGTACACAGATAAGCTGCAATACCATCATCCCACAATCTTATAAACTGGGCGAACCGTAGACCAACCTAGTGCCAATACTTAGAAAAGCAGACAACAACATCCTGATACTGTAACCATCTACTAAAATGACGTGAAAATCAAAGAAAATGAACTCACTGGCAATCAGTGGCATCTATTCCCAAGAAGACTTCCACGATTTACACAACCATGTTCTATTGCTGATGGAAAAATCGTCACTTTTCAATATAATGGCAAGAGGAATGCAAGGCGACGAGAACCCACAAGGAGGATTGATTTCATATTTCTCGAAACACTCTCCAACATCGCTGAAAATACATGGAATCAATTCATCATGAAATTTACACAATTTGGATCAATAAGCTCAGCCGTCAATATGATTGTCATAATTTTTCAGCTCCTCAATACAGTTCTAGACATGATAATAAGAGGATATACTCGTAAGTAGTGGGGCAGTTGTGGTACCATAATCTGGGTCGGAAACCTCGGAAACGAATTTTAAATTAATAAAAGCTAGTAAAACATAATATTTCATTGAATATCGTAGTGCAAGTTTACTTTTAATAAATGTGTCGCCGGTGTAGTCAAATATTCCAACCGCTTTTAGATCAATTGCATCTGTCAGACAGGCGGTTCCATATACCGAAGTTCATAGAATGTCTAGTCCTATGAGCATATTTTCAACGATAGGCAGTGCGGCTTTAAGTGCTTTATCCATTTTGAATTACTACACGAGTTTGTCAAGATCCTATGTTGTGTGCACGATAGGCTAACAAGAGTAATGATTCTTATTTAGCGTTTGACCGAATGGGTATTTCTCATGGATATGTATATAATATTAACCCGAATAGAACTCTCTAATGACAAGATAGATAAGTTGATCTGTATAGTTGCTCAAGAAGAGAACTGTTCTAATCTGAGTGCTGTATCTGTGTTGATATAAACTTTACTTACACATCGACGATCAGTGTTAGAAGTGCAATGATAACCTGGGATATTCTTCCTGTCCTTTCTTTCTCTGCTGTAAATCTTCACTTCTACTCCCTTAAAAAAAATTATAAAGTGGAGCGGGAACATCAAATTCGTAAAATAAGAGGGCATAGTTTTCTGTTTATCCTATTCTTTCACTGAAGGCGGCACCCTTCAGCTCACGCCAGTTTTATTGCGTATATTGCCGATGGAGAATCCTTGATATCTAATGCGCTCAGCAGTAAAAGTAATCATGAAAATGGGAATAAAATGACTACAGTTATCAGATGTAGAATATATTTATGTTGCTCTTAAATGTAGAAAGAGATCACACTACTTATTGAAATGATAGCCAATAGTTAATATTTTCACCTTATGAATTAACTAAACGCATCGCATGGTTACTTTTGCTCAAGCCGTGACACTCAAAAAGATAATCGTAAGTCTCGATGAAAAGTCGTGTAAGTTGAAAGTAATGCATTCAGCACCTGTATTTCTTCTTGAATATTTTTAAGCATTGGGCATCTAGTATTTATATCTTTAGTTTCCATAATTTTTGTACATGGCATATTTTGGCGGGAAGTAACTTTGTCTCACAGACTAACTGAAATCTTACTCAAAGCTTCGGCACAAGACTTACGATTTAGCATTATAATTGGGCTGACGAGATGTCGTACCGTTTACGGAAATGCTAAATTCTGTGTCTCTGCCGTGTATTAATGTTTGCTTTTGTGAAAAAGGTGTCATGCTACCACGATTTATAAGCTTTCGAACTGAAGTATGAATCTTAGCTTTACATTGAAAACTTGTGAAGTGTGGTTGACCTATTTCTTCATGGTTCGTTAAAATTAACAAAGACCTGATTTTTCAGTACATGAGATATAAGGTTATGTAAATTCTTAACAAAGATCTATAAGATAACATTGAATAACACTGGTCATTTTATTTTTTATTATCTTATATATTTTATCATAATCTACAGTATAATTTCCTGCAAGTATGATGGCCTCCTTGACATTGGCTCAAAATACTTTGGTGTCCCAGTAAATATACAGCCTTATTTGTTTACATTTCAAAAAAATGAATTAGACAACTTCAACGTTCCTCTCACGTATTGCTATATCTGTGATATACACAGATATCTCTTATACTTCTTTTTATCCCATTCTTTATATATAATTGTACTTTTCTTATTTTACAAAGTATAAGTTCAATATGATTACTTTAGATTTTCTTACATTATATATGATATTTTCATAAAGCATTTGAAAAAATTTCTAGACAGCTGAAGAAGTCATAGTTAATTTAATTTCACAAGTTGGACCTTTGGCACGCAATCAATTACCTTTGCGTCTGTATCAAACGACTAGTAAATGGCGAGATGAAATGAAACCTCGTTTGGGATTATTACGCAGTAGAGAATTTATTATGAAAGATATGTATACTTTCGATGCTAATTCAAAAAACGCTATGGATACTTACGAGATTGTTCATAATGCATATCGGAAGATTTTTGATGCTCTCAAGATCCCATACATGAAAGTGATTGCAAATTCAGGAATAATGGGAGGGTATCTTTCACATGAATATCATTATTTATCTAATGTAGGAGAAAATAGCATAACATATTGTAAAACTTGTAATTATTATCAAGAGGACCAAACTATTCTTATTACAAATTGTCCCAATTGTAACAAAGAGTTGGACAGGAATAATTCAGTTGAGGTAAGCTCTGTCAAATTAATGGTGTTGTAGTATTTTACAGAAAATATTATAGTAAAAAATTAATTCTTCATTGTACTCTGAGTGCAAAATACTATTTTAACATTTAAATATATGATAAATAGCAGCGAACCCTACTATACTTCCTTACGTTACATCTAGTATGACAGCAAATGAGTCACTTAAATGACCTTCAATCTTGACATATTGTCGTCTGTCAGTTAGATAGTTTTTAAACAGATCATTAGTTAAATCGTGTATCCTATATCTCTTTAACCTTAAAAGTATAATTTTATGATCAGCAATATTAAATGTCTCTACCAAATCTAAGAAAACTGCTATTACTTTATTATTCTTCTACGTACATTTAATTATTAGATTTTTCACATTTGAAAGTGTATTTTTGGTTTCGATTTGCTTTTTGAAACCAAACTTTTTGTTATCATTGATTTGATTTTTTGAGAGAGATTTATTTAACTAACTTGAATTAGTTTTTCAAAAATCTTGGCTATATTTGATATTAATCATATTGATCTGTAATTAATTAGTACAAATGCTCCTCCACATTTACGGATCGGTCCTATTTCAGCGATTTTATAGACTAGGGATCAATGTGTTTTGAAGATGCACTCGAATGGAAAACTAATGTAAGAATTGTGAAAAGTTCTGCTTATTAAGGACGCTCGCTTGCCCGAGCCGCCATCATGGGCGCGTGAGCGACATGAACGGACTCGTGGTTTCCGTAAATTCGCGATTACACGTACCCTATTAGCGACAATATCCTACTGCGAGCAATAACGCGAAACGCCTTACATGCCCTTGCATTTTAACGCCGATCATAGAGGGGCCAGCGGTAGTGCGCATGCAAGATCGACGCGCGATAGACTTTATACCGCATTCTCGACTGCAAATATTTCGATATTTGCCGCACGTGTTATTACAGTTATTACAGTGATATTACCAGACGCTAAGAAATTATCCATCTCGTTACAGGATCTAGTGTCTTTACAATTATTGTACTGATTCTATTGACTTCACCAGGTTTGACTTTAAAGATTTGAATAATCTTTAATATCTTATTATCATCAGTATACTAAATATAAAATTTTTCATCAATGCTATCTTAGAACGTAAGTGAATGAATCGTGCTTATTTTGATTTTTTCGATCAATTTTAATGCTACTTCATCGAAACAATTATTAAACATCCCAGTAACATTCACAGCATCAACGTACATGATGCCATAATTTTCAATTGATACATACTATAACGATTTATAAAATTGAGTGCGTTATAGAGAGGAAACTATTATGAATTATTATAAGATTAGCCTCGATTTGCCACTGGGTTTATGCAATGGCTCGTACTCGGCCGAGTCTGATTGTCTGCATCAAAGCTACCTCGTGGCCAGCGTAGAGCGGTGTGACTAGATGTAACAAAACTGCGAATAATAAATACGAAGGGAATTATCACAGGAAAGGAACAATAGTCAGGCGAGACAAAAAAATACGTAACTAGTGTAACTGCTGTTTATATAAATGAATTTATAATTAGTAAAAATGTAGAATTATAATAATGCAGTTTGATAAAGCAGCCAGGGTAAGAGAGAGAAAGCAAGCAAACCGAGAGAAACAAAGTACGAGGAGATACTTACATTTTCCTCGGCCATGCCTTCTTCAAATGCTCATGGGTCGAAATTCGTTGATACAACGACTCGCTATCCTCGTGTTAAACCCGCATTGGTTGTACTCTCTGCACACTGCACACGCACACTCTATCCACCAAGAGGCTGTCGGAAGCCGGTATCGATGGCAAGGTCAAAATCGCTATCCTTCTTAATGGAAAAGCCACACGAAATCGGTAAGGCCTCAAAAGCACCGCGTCAATCGACACGTGTTCGCAGTGTCGAGTCCGCTTCAATCCCTTTCCTTAGGCCACTACGCCGCGGGTCTCCTATCGGAAGTCTATCATCCATACTGTATTGGGCGTTTTTGGGATCTTCATCCTCCACTGTAGTTAAAGAAATTAGGAAGTCTTTCTAATAATTTTTCTATCTTAACTTCATGGTCATATAAATTTTTAGCGTAAACTATTATATCATCCAAATACATTAATATTTCTATATTTAATAATCTCCGCAGCAACGCATTCATCATTCGTTGAAAGGTTGCTGGTGTATTCATTAAGCCTTTCGACATTCTGATATAATGAAAGTGTCCATCAAAAGTCGAGAAAGCCGTCTCCTCTCTGTCCTGAACCTTTAAAGGTATTTGTTGAAATCCACTGATTAAATCGAACGTTGAGAAGTACATTGAGCCTCCCAATTTATCTAAAATATCGGCAATATTAGGTAAGGGGTATGCATCGCCGATGGTCCTTTTATTTAACTTTCTGAAATCGATAACTATTCTCCATCTCGACGTATTGTCGCTCGCTGGGCTTTTGGTAACAATCCAGAGCGGTGAGTTATAAGGCGAGTTACTCTCTTCGATTATTCCATTCTTTAATCGTTTCTTGATTTCGGCCGATATAAACTCTCTGTGCACGTATGAATGCTTATATTACTTTGCATTGACTAGAACTCTATTTTTCAGATGTATTTCGCGTTCTATCAAGTTAATACATGGTAAGGGCTCTCCGGGAAGTAAAAACATATACGGCTATGCTACAAGCGTTTCACATTTTGAAGTTCACTCCGACAAAGGTGTCCTGTCCTTGTCAATTGCAACAACTTATTACGTCGTTTCTTAAATTGATCAATAGCTTATGCCGTTTTCTGGAGGCTACTTTTAAGGTCTGTATTGATGTCACTGGTAAATTCTGATTTATAATATTCAAATGGAATAAATTTCTTCGGGTCTACTTCTATCGTTATTTTTCTCTCGTCATGGGTGTTTACAGCCATGATTTTACAGGTTTCATGGTCATTGATAACTAAGCTCTGTTCAAGGAAGACTTTATCATTGCCCACATTTATCCTGGGTAAATACTCTTCACCAAGTTCATTTGTATGACTTATCGAGTTTTCGGCGCTTAGGTGTATCCTACCATACCGACAGGCAGTCCTTTCTCACTATTTCTAGCTTCATTGCTCCTGATTCCTTCTGGAGCAAGTCGTTCTATTCCTTGATCTAAGTCCGCTGTAGTATCAAGCATTCATTACGTCGTTCTCACAACCACTGATACTCATAGTCTATATCAGATCGTCTTGTAATTAGTCAATAGGCACACCATTCAGTAAAAACGGTAACTGATTCATTACGTAGCTAGTCACTATTAGGCTACTATTGTAGTATGAAATTACAGCGTTGGTATCCATTAGGTAATCTCTGCCTACGTGGGTCGTTTGAAAAGTCCGTGCAAAAATAAAAACTGTTTGATTTTTTTTAATAAATCTTTTTTAATTTTTAATATAGTCTCCTTTTAGGCTTATGCACTTCATTCAACGCTGCTCTAGTTTGTTAATCCCTTCCAAATAATAGGATTTATCCAAGTCTGCAAAATAGGCATTCGTTTCTGCAATGACCTCCTCGTTTGAATAAAATCTTTTCTCCGCCAGCCATTTTTTCATATTAGGGAACAAATAGTAGTCCGATGGAGCCAAGTCTAGAGAATAAGGGGGATGTGAAACGAGTTGGAACCCTATCTCCATCAGTTTTGCGGCCACAACTGCTGAGGCGTGAGCTGGCGCATTCTCGTGGTGGAAGAGGACTTTTTTGTGGGCCAATCGTGCACGTTTCTCTAGCAACTCGGTTTTCAAACGATCCAATAACGATGAATAATATTCGCCTGTAATGGTTTTACCCTTTTCCAGATAGTCGATGAAGATTATTCCTTGCGAATCCCACAAGACAGTCGCCATAACTTTCCCGGCCGAAGGAATTGTCTTCGCTTTTTTCGGAGCAGATTCCCCCTTGGTAACCCATTGTTTAGACTGTTCTTTGGTCTCAGGAGTGTAGTGATGTATCCATGTTTCATCTACAGTGATGAAACGACGCTTAAAGTCTTGCGGATTTTGCTGGAACGCTGCAAACCATCCTTGCAACACTTCACACGATCTCGTTTTTGGTCAATCGTGAGCAATCGCGGCACCCATTTAGCGGATAGCTTTTTCATGTCCAAATGTTGGTGCAAAATATTATGTACCCATTCGGTTGAGATGCCTACAGTACTAGCAATCTCACGCACCTTCACTCTTCTGTCAGCCATTACCATATCATGGATTTTATTAATGATTTCTGAAGTGGTAACCTTAACAGGGCGTCCAGAACGTTCAGCGTTTTTTGTACTCACATGGCCACTCCGAAAATTTTAAAATCACTTATAAACCACTCTAATCGAAGGTGCTCAATCACCATAATGTTTATCAAGCTTCTGTTTAATCTCCTGAGGCGTTTTGCCTTTGAAAAAGTAATGTTTAATCAATACACGAAATTCTTTTTCGTCCATTTTTTACAACTACTCGATGTCTTTGATTGAAACGAATGTAAAACGCAAAGTAATTGGCCGATCTGGCTGAAATTTGGTGTGTGCTCTTCCAAGATATGCCATTAACTGAAAATAACGTTGATACGCACTAGTAGCGCCATCTCTCTGACTTTGCACGGACTTTTCAAACGACCCTCGTAATATTTCGTCTTCCTCAATACGAAAACTATTCCATACTATGTGAAATTCTGCTATACGTCCATTTATGATCAGTATTGCTGTACCTATCGTTAGAATAGTATGTGCCGTTATACCACTTAAGGTAGTAACTTCCCTAAGATCAAACTTCGTGGTCCAATTTAATGCACTGAATTTTATGAGGTTCACGGCCGATCCATTATCTATCATGAACACAGTCCATTTTTTACTGGTCTCTGGTATCCCAAACCTTATTCTTGTTGACAGATAGATTTGATTTTTTCCTGCGCTAGATCCCTAATTCGAGGTAATTGCGACGCTAGTTCAACAGAGTTCGCGGGTTCTTCAATATCGTCATAATATTTACTAATGGTACT